AGTTACCAGCAGGCGGTAGATATGGTGAATCAAGAATACAATTCACCTGTGCGTCAGACAAGGGTGAAGAACTATCTAAACTCCCTACGTGTTTCAAACTTCGTTAAGGAAGGCTTTGAAATATCAACAGCATTAGCTAAAATATATAAGCTAATAACGAAACTATCGCGTCAGGTACCACCATCACATCGCAGGGACTCACACAAGATCGAGTTCCTAAGGAACGCTGCAGTTGGATACGGTTGGTCTCGTGAACCGTTAAGCCGAGTGGCAACCCATATCTTGTCATTCCAGATGCTATACGGGGAACTAGAAGCTGCGCTGCAGTTAGACAAGGAGGTGCGATGCCTACGTGTTGGCCTGGGCAGGTGGTGCCTCCGGCGGGCGGGGGCGTGTGCGGGGCGGCAAACCTGTAAATTATGTGGCGGCCTTGTTGATCTCTGAGCGTGGGATCTCCCGCACGGATGGGGAGGGGTGTGTGCCTGCGGGGCGCGCGGCAGCGGGAGGCGACGGCCCCCCCGCGAGGACCGCGGCGGCAACGCGGCGGCAGCGGCCGATGACAGGGGCGTGCGACACGCGGGTGCTTGCGTGCGCGCGGCCAATCGGCGCGGCACAGCACACCTTACTTTTCTCAGGGCCGTTCCGAACGACTTGTTGGCACTCCGCGGCATTGTTTGGTTCGGCGGCGACGCCCGGTCTGCGATCTCGCGCACTCCACGTTGTCGGAAGAATGCATGGTCAAGAGTCCTGTGACCTCGCGCCCTCCGCGTGGTCGGAATAGAGCATTCTCTGTACAGTAGTCGAGAGGCGCTCTCTCTACTGGACTCGCCCCTCGGCGCTCGGCAGAGGTCCCGGCGATGTAGGGTAGTGGAACCTAATGAGTGTGACGATGGAGGGGCGGTGTCGGGCGAAACTAATGACCACTACTGTACATACAGTACAAGGGTGAGCGCGGTCTGGTACCGTACAGGAGCCCGACAAGACTTTTACCTTTACCAAACTCTCTTTTGCTTGTCTCGGGACCACATTGTCGCAGTGGAGGGGGCGCCCGCGCCAAGAGGGCAAGGAGGCAGCCTCCCCGCCCCCCTCTCCCTCCCCCTTCCGGGGCGGTGCCGTCGCGGCGAGAGGGTTGCTGACGCCCGGACTGGGGGGTGCGGAAAAGCCGGGTGTTGGCCAGTTTTAGCGCAAGCAGCTCGCGTCTCGTACCACGTACGGCGGGTTGCCGTGGCGCCCAGCGCGCGCCTCGCGCAGATGCAGGCGCCGTTTGGGCAGGTGTGGGCAGCGGGGTTGCCGCGATACTACGGTGGCACGCGCTGTGCCCCGACGGAAGGTTGCCCGAGCCCGGTTGTCGACTCGGCATGCCGGCGCTCGACTCGCTTCGTGCTTGTGTGGAGGGCCTGTTTTCAAACCTGCACACGTCAACGTGCCACGTATTGAACTGCAACCCAGTAAACTTTATCGGTGTGAAGACTACAGAGTAACGCCAGGCAGCGCGCGGGTGTAAGCGGCTGATGTCAGCCGGCTAGCTGTCAACAGCCAGCCGGCTGTCACCCCTCTGCCTCCGTGTCCTGTGTACAGTACAGCACTTGACCAGGTCGGATGACGCCCTCAGCTACGGTCCTCCCCGCCTCCTCTCCCTCATCTCTACTTCTCGTTGCCCACCCCCCGCACTTGCTGCCCACCCTACTCCGCTCTACGTTCTTCACCATGTCTATTCTCAACACTGGACTGACAATCTCCCATTCTTCTTCAGAGCGACTGATTTCGGCATCCCTGATATCCCACAGTCCTCCGAGTACCAAGGGTACAGTATAACCCAAACCAGTGTCTTCAGTGCCCGGTCGAATACGAAGATTCGAAAGTGCGATCCCAAAACATCCTCCCTGTCGAGATACTGCACCCCGCCACAACACGTATGCCACAGTCCGTCCCATCACACCACCGCTCACCTTGTCATTCATCTGCACTGCCACATTTACACAGTCTGCCTTCCTGCCCTGTTGACCCACCCTTCCATCTCTGCACCCTCTGCCCTCTGCTCAACATTTTCTACGATTATTATCTACGAGCCCCTGTGTACACTGTACACACTGTACCCTTCGGTACAGTACCATGATGGTACTACCATCTCACACTCTGCCTCGCAACCTTACGGTATGTCCAGTATCGCCACCACAACATAGCCAAATCTCCAATCACTACACGCTCGTCGCCACGCCTCATCTCACCTCCCGCATGCCTACGCTACATGCCTCACTCCTAAAATGTTAGTGGCTTTATCGTGTGTCCTACCTCTCTAAAACACACCAGCCCCCCTGATGTCTAGTCCTGATCGATATCGTTCTTAGGCTTCATGGCCGGGAAGAGGAGCACCTCCTTGATAGAGTAGTTGTCCGTGAGCATCATAGTGAGTCGGTCCACGCCAAGCCCCCACCCTGCCGTCGGCGGTAGGCCATACTCGAGCGAGACGCAGAAGTCCTCGTCGTGCACCATCGCTTCCTCGTCGCCGCACGACACGTCCTTCTGCGTCGCCCTGAACTGCTCGCGCTGCACTTCGGGGTCGTTCAGCTCCGTGTACGCGTTGCACAGCTCCTTGCCGTTGGCAAACAGCTCGAACCGCTCTGTCATGCCGGGCAGCGACCGGTGCCACTTGGCCAGCGGCGACATGATCTGCGGGTGGTCGCAGATGAACGTCGGGTTGATGCACTCCGGCTCGATGTACTCCCCGACCAGGCTGTCCAGTAACCGCGCCGTCGTGCGCGGCTCTTGGCATTCGATGCTCAGCTGCACGTGCAGGTCGTCGAGCACCTTGCGTGTCGATTCGGCTTCCATATCTGTCGGCATTGTAAACTCAGCATCGTTCAGCACCGTGCGCAGTCGCTCCTCCAGCCCGGAGACCATGGAAATCCGCTTGAAGGGTGGCGCGAAATCCATCTCAACGGCCCGCCCGTCCTTGCCGTCCGGGTGATACGTCACCTTGTACTTCCCATTCACTTTCATGACCAGGCTGGAAAGCATCTCCTCGGTGATTCTCATGAGGTCAGAATAGTCGAGATACGCCGCATAAAACTCGCACGCGGTAAACTCGGGGTTGTGCGTGAGATCGATGGATTCGTTCCTAAAGTTTCTCCCGATCTCATACACGCGGTCCAGCCCACCAATGACGAGCATCTTCAAGTACAGCTCCGGCGCCACGCGCATATACATGGTGGTCTTCAGGTCCTCATGATAGGTCTTGAACGGCTTGGCCGTGGCCCCGCCCGGTATAGCGCTCATCATGGGGGTCTCGACTTCCAAAAAGCCGCGATCATCCAAAAACGACCGAACAAACTTGATAATCTTACTCCGCCTCACAAAAATGTCTCTCTTGTCCTGGTTGACAATCAAGTCCAAATACCTCTGTCTGAACCTGACTTCGGAATCAGCAAGCCCCTGTTCCAGCTTGGGCAGCATGTGCAAGCAGGAAGACAGCAAGGTAATCTCATGCGCAAAAATGCTAAACTCGCCCTTCCTCGACTTTCCGGGACAGCCCTTCACCCCAACGATATCCCCCCTCCTCAGCCCCGCGTGATCCTTCAAAAACGAGTCCCCCCCATTCCTAGCATCAGCAACGATCTGGACCTTGACCCCCTCCCCTCTGAGATCATAAAACACGAGCCGTGTAGCCGCAGCGCGCTTGGAGTACAGCCTCCCGGCCAGCGACATAACCGTCTCCTCCTTCTGCTCCCCCGGCTGCACGGCATCCGCGTACTCTTCCACAAACTGCGGGATGGACATGGAGACCTGAAACTTGTGCGGGTACGGGTTCTCGCCCACGTCC